CAAGCTGCATTACTCACACTATAAACAGAACAGGAAGCTGCAAATAAGATCTGTACAAGTAAATCGGGTTGTCTTAACAACTGTCCTAACAATCCATACAGGTATGTTCTTGGAGGAAGTCAAATGGATCACGCGCAGCCTATCTGCTGTAAATCGTGTTCTGCCTTGCCATGCACTGCTTTGGCTGCCACGAGGAAGGTGTGCATCCAGGTTTGCTGTTCACAGGCAGCTTCCCAGGTTCCCACAAGGTATCTGTGTTGATGAGTGAATGCCTTGTGTCCAGGCTGTGCCTGTACTCAGGTGATGGATGCGAGTTGCAAATCTCCCAGTTCATCAACCCTTGGTTTTCCCAAAGGCTGTGATGCAAAATGGGCTCTTTGAATCTATTTGGCTGCAATGCCAATTTGAGCTCTGGTGTAAACTTGGAGCTATGTTCAGAAAACACTACACTTCTGCACAAATCTGCTTCAGGAAGACATCAAAGAACTGCTTGGAAGGGAGACTGGAAGACCCCTACATGCCAAGTAAGGACATCATCTCCTTTGTCCAGCAAAACAAGATGTTGTCCATGCCCTGCAGTTCAGCATGACTACATTGCAGTGATCACTTCATCACCAATTTCTCCTCCTCCTTTCAAGAATGTTCAGTTTCTCCAATTTCAGCTACCAGTATGAAGTAGCCTATTAGTAATGCTGATGTATTTCTGTAATTATAGCTACATTCTGATTGACATATCTTGTACATGGAATCTCAATCAATTTTATCTGTACTGAGAAACTGAAAAGTTTTTTTTATAGTTGAGGTCATTTGGAGCTATACACTGGAGCTGACACTCACAGGTTGTAAATAACACTCCTGGAATATGCTTTAAGTACAGTTGGCTGAAAGTTTTCTAAAACTGTGGTATTTCAGTGGAAAATGTTGTTCTGTAAAAGTTAAATTTCCCACAGGAAACAATTTTTCCCCAGTTTTTTTTTTCTGCTTTCTGACAAAAACAATGCACTGTAATATTTACAGATGCAGAAATGCCTTTACCATTGAAGACAGCACCATTTGGGATGGGGAACCAACACATGAAAGAAAGAACTGGAACATAGAATATGAATGCCAGGAAGCTGTTCAACAGCTCAAGGGTACACATAAAATGTTAAAGTCCAAATGAAACATTTGTCTTTGATCTGACAAACTAAAAAGCACTGTGTCTCTCCACAAATGTCAAAATGTTTCATGCTGGTTGAAAATAGTTAAGTGAAACATTGAAGAATATCAGCATGAAATACTTATTGTATACTCTGACCCTCAGAACATTTTTGCATTTAGTCACTTGTTTCTGACGAGGATAAAAAAAATCATATCAGGTTTTCTGTCTGAGGCCAATTTACCTTTTAACCACTTAGCCTGTAAGCAAAGAACCAAGCAATGGGAATCCCCGTGGATTCTTAAAGTACTTTGAACACAAAGAAAACCAAGAACATTAAACCTGAGGGAAATGCATTGTAACTTTTGTATACAAGTAAACTGTTTCAGATTTAAACCTGAAGCTAATCGGTTTTTAAATGAGTCATAAAGTCCTGATCTCTTTATAATATGTTCCATCCAAACCAAGTAAGTGCCATGTGACCCTTGAATTTCTTGACATTTGCCTCTGTAACCTTTAGTCAGGTAATGACAGACTCCTATGATTACCTCTGGAAATACTGCTGCTACAATTGGATTTTACTTGGCTTGCTCAGTTTTTAATTATTTGCTTACAGTCTTTACTACAGCTCTTCTGGGATTCATTGCTCAATACTACTAAAACACGTTAAATACAATATTTCTTATACATGTAATAAATATTTTAGATCATAATTACTGACATTCATAACCTGTGCATAATTTGGGTTCCCCTGTAAGTATAACATCCCCCTCCCCCATATGCATGCAGTTTCCACACATAGAACAAACTGTGCTCTTGCTACAGTCCTTATTGTAACAGCATTCGAGTCTAACGTGGTTTTTGACATGCAACTGAAACTAACTACACTAAAATAAGCACATGCATCATGATCATCAGCCTCAGCCTCCACCAGGACCTGTTACAAAAGGAAAGCAGCTGTGCAGTACTGTCCAGACACAGAACTTTTCTGTTTAGCATTTTCAGGTTTTCATATGATTAAAGATGCAACTCTGTTGGCTGAGGTATTTTGATCCTTGCAAATGTAAAATAAAATTAAAAAAAAAAAAAAAAAAAAAAAAAAAAAAAAAAAAAAAAA